TGATCCTTTGTAGGCGATATTTGAGTGACAGTATCCAACAAAAAAGCGTGGCAATGAACTGAAAACAACAAGAGAAATACGAATACTTCCAAATCCATTTTGGTCTCTTTCAACATCAGAAATACAGATTTGAACTTCCTTTTTATACGGTTTAATAGATTAAACTGTAATCAGTCACTGATATTAACACTATAACAAGTATCAAATTAAGTAAAAGAAATATGCAGTAAATAAAACTAATAAATTATATGTTATAAAAATACAATTCACACATTACTTTAGTGCAAAACTGACCTTGATGTTAATATTTTCTGTCTTACGCCTGGTCAGACAAACATGTTATTGCATGGTAAAAAATAAGTAAACCAGTTCTTTGCCGCAAGTTTTTTTTTTAATTTAAAAAAAAAACAGTTACATGTATCTATTTTTGTCTTGTTCGAAGGATATCACACCACCAAAAATTAATTGAAAAATCTGAAACCCTTTGCATGGCTTATTGCTGTAAAACTCTATCGAATCGGGACCTAAAGGAATCATCAACTACTGTTCTTAAAATTGGTACACCCCCACCCCCATGGTTTTACCTTTGCCCATTTTCTCAACAGCTCTTAACGGTAGTAGCAATAGACTTTTACAGTATTTAAAATTTGTAGAAACTTTTACAGACATGTTTTATGAAGCCATGTGTCGTCAATCGTTTAATTTATGGTGATCTTCATTTGTCTCATTTTGTTATAATTTGGTTAAAAATAGACAATAAACGTCCTCCATTACACGTTTATAACATTTCAACAGATACGAATTATCACCACTTAATAAATTGGCATAATACATTTAAGGCTGGGTTTTATTAGTTGACCATGAATTCCCCCGCTTATATTGGTGTTTGTGTTGCTAAACCCTAAGTGTTTTGTTATTTGCCTGCCCACTCATTGTTTTATGGAAGTAAAGTGCCCTATAGTTGTTTACGTTATTGTACGTTAGTCCTTTGTGGATACTGTGGATTCATTATTATTCACGGGATACCAATTTTCGTGGATTTCGTGGATTAAGGTGATCCACGAAATTAAATGTTCAACGAATGACAAATTTTCTATAGGCTTGTATTCCGACTTTGGCAAAACTACGAAATCAAATATCCACGAACATGTAACTTTTCCTTATTCCACTAAAATTGGTACCCACGAAAATAAATGAATCCACAGTAGTTGTTTCATTGGCAATCATACCACATCGCTTTATTTTTATATGGTTTATTCTTTGTTAAGAACAACTGTTTTATTCAAACGTTTGTACTCGGTTATGGCTTAGGGTTAGAGGATTTACTCGTACCGGTGATTTTGTTAATATATTACAGTTAGACGAGATATCTTTACCAATCCATAAGGGGCTCGTTAGCCGAGTGGCCTAAGTCGTTGATCTACTGTTTCACTAGCCTGTCAACTCTAAGATTATGAGTTCGAATCCCGGACGTGGTATGTGCGTTCGACTCCAATTTTAATTGACTTGGATTGTCAGTTTTCCTACCGATGGTCGGTGGTTCTCTCCGGGTACTCAGACACTCTCCACCAATAAAAACCGACCGGCACGAAATAGCACAATAGTGCTGAAAGTGGTGTTAAATACCAATCAATCAATCTAACCATCCATGTGTATGATTAATCAACAGTTAAAACCAATGTTCTTATCTTTCATATCAATAAAAAGGCATATTGTGGTACACGTATCCATTTGTCATAAAATTGATATTTGTTCACGATGAGTGCGGCTTTACGTCAATCAAAAATCCACTTGAAATGTTGAACCAGCAACGTTCGTAATCAAAAGTGCTAGCTTTGTTGATTTTTACGATAAAAAAAACAAGAATAACTGCTTGAATTTAGATTTGAAAAGCAGAATATCTTGTTATATAATAAACATTCCCGTGTATCTTAACAATATAACAATCTGATGTTTATCTTTTGCATATTAAGATACTTTTGTGACCTATGAATAGTTATCAAATTTTTTTTTAAAGATTCGTGGGTGACTTAATACAACTCCTCATTATATACTATGTGTGTGTATAATTTGCATTGGGATGTTTTATGCTGTAGCAGACTTTAATATAAATCGCAAGAGGACTTTTAATGTTTATCTGAAGATCTGAAGAAATTGAAAAAATGGTCGTTTTTTTGTTGAGACTTATGTTATGAAGTTTCCGTCTGTCGTATGTCCATTGTCCTTGACCTCATTTTCATGGTTCAATGACTACTTGAAAAAAAAAATTTTGTAATGTTAATTTTTCTTTTAGTATGAGTAATAGGATAACTGTATTTAATATGTGCGTACCTTGCAAGGCCCTCATGCCCATCAGACAGTTTTCATCTGACCTCGACCTCATTTAATGGATCAGTGAACAAGGTTAAGGTCCATACATCAGATACTATAAGCAATAGGTCTTCTATATTTGGTGTATGGAATGATTGTAAGGTGTACATGTCCAACTGGCAGGTGTCATTTGACCTTTACCTCATTTTCATGGTTCAGTGGTTAAAGTTAAGTTCTTGTGTTTTGGTCTTTTTTTTTCTAATACTATATGCAATAGGTCAACTATATTTGGTGTATGGAAATATTTTACAATGTACATGTCAGTCTGGCAGGTTTTATTTGACCTTGACCTCATTTTCATGGTTCATTGCTCAGTGTCTAGTTTTTGTGTTTTGGTCTATTTTTCTTAAACTATAACCAATAGGTCAACTATATTTGTTGTATGGATTGATTGTAAGGTGTATATGTCTGTCTTGCAGGTATCATATGACCTTCACCGTATTTTCATGGTTCATTGGTCAATGTTAAGTTTTCATGGTTAAATTTGTCTCTTAGATACTATAAGCAATAGGTCAACTATATTTAATGCATAGATTAATTGTAAGGTTTACATGTCTGTATGGCATGGTTCATCTGACCTTGACCTTATTTTCATTGTTCATTGGTCAATGTTTAGTTTTCATGTTTAAGTCTGTTTTTTAGAAACTATAAGCAATAGGTCAACTATATTTGATGTATTGAATTATTGTAAGGTGTACATGTATTTCCCGTTTGGTTTATCTGACCTTGACCTCATTTTCTTGGATCATGTTAAGTTTATGTGATCCTTTTAGTAAAGCTTTATATTTAGGACTATCAATATAAAATCAATGGTCAGTAAAGAAGGCGAGACATTTCAGCGTGTGCACTCTTATTTCAATACAATTTATTCTGAGAACAGACATACCTATGCACCTACATAAAAGTATTAAGTATGACAAGAACTGGATAAATAATTTTTAATATATTTTATGGTTCAGAAAATTAAAGACTCCCCCCAGACCCTCCTTAAAATCAAATGGCCACCCCCTAAATTTATCATCCTTTTTTTATAAACCATTGACAATTTTTAACTTTACGAATGAAAAAGACACTTGTCTATTGTTGAAGATTGTATGTTGACATCTAAATTTCATTATTTCATTTTTCGGGTTGTCGGATTACGGTCTCATAGGCATATACCCAGCATCTTCTTTCATCAATATAAATATTTATATAGTCTTTAAGTGTGCTTGTGAAAATTTGGGATATTTCGGGGAACTATTATTCTTATAAGCTAGAATAATTCCTTTTTGAGGCTGTAAGAACGATAACTGTTCCTACAATATTTTACAAAATAAAAGAAGAATGTATCTGAGGACACACGAATGCCCCCGCTCAAGCTTTGCAACGAAAATAGGGCGGACGGAAAGACGAATAGAATGAAAGACGGTAGGACGGCAGAATGAAAAGACGGAAGGGCGGTACGAAATGAATACCAGACAGTTCGAATATAACATCAGAAAGTTCGAATAGAATGCAAGACGGTCCCTCTTGTATCTTTCGTCCCTCTTTTACGAATAGAATACCAAACAGTACGAATAGAATACACGACAGAACAATTGGAATACCAGACAGTGCAAATAGAATACCAGAAAGTTCGAATATAACAACAGACAGTTCGAATAGAATGCCAGACAGTACGAATAGAATGCCAGACAGTACGAATAAAATGCAAAACAGTACGAATAGACAAATAGACATACAGGGTGAATAAACACACGAACAAATATCCAGCATGTTCTTGTTCTCGCCACGTTCCAGCAGGGTTGAATAGGGATTTGCTCACCTTAATTTATTATGATAACATGGTACATATCCATACACAAAATAAATGTTTACCGACAGGTGATCGACAATACATCGCTGGAAACATTCGACGCCTCATTTATCAGATCTTTATATAAACAAACTAACAAAATACCTTCATTTAAAACAGGCATCGCTTTTAGTTGTGTACGGAAAACGAGTGGCTGCTAGCTTGAGTCTAGCTCAAACGTCTCTTTTTTCTCATAACTGTAGGTTTGGATGATTCCAGATGTTCGAAAATAGAATACGTTTTCCCCTTTAATATATTCTCAAAAGCATATCTTGGCAAAACTATACAGTGACATCAAATATGTTTCAAAATTTCTCCTTTGCAGATTTACTAGTTGAAACTATTTACTTACTGAAATAGGTTTAATGGTAATACAGCAATGGAATTACTTTAATTTGTCAAAGGTATAGAATGATGCAAAAATTCGACAATTTGATGACTAATGATATACAACTCGAACCTCGTTCAAAAATATATTCTGAGGGAAGAAATAATTTAGCATTATCTAACCGTTGACAGAAAATACTTTTCAGCATCTGTGCTTTGTGTTAAATCAATCCGGGCCGGAACTACATTTCTTTATAACACCTATACCGCGTCTCCCATATCACACTTACATGTATAATATTGCTCTTATATAACACATCATTATACAGGGAATTTACACATCAACATAAGCCCTACAGTGCATTATCTTATCTATAAAGGCATCATACACTTATAAACTTATCTTTGGGGTAATTTTTAAGTCAAGGTATGAGTATTGGTTTGCATATAATAAGCTTAAAGTATAAACACTTACATATATTTTATTGAACAGTCAAAATATGTCTACAGTCAGAAAAATATTGCAATGGTTCTACGTATTGCATATAAATATAAATATAACAAATCACACATTTCTCCTTTAGTGTTCGCAATTATTTCTTTCCGTAACTACCAGATCCTTTATATTGGCCGGTATAACCTGTATTTTCACTTTTGTCTTCTCGTCCTGCTGCACCCTTTCCTTTTCCAGATTCGTCAAATCGTTCTTTATGAGCACCCGTATAACCCGAGGTGTCAGTCATCCTGCCGACACCCCCTGTAGAAGATTGTGCCTGAAATAACCACAAGACAAAAGATTGAAAGAGGCGTTAATCACCAAGATATCAATCAATCAATCAAGTAACATAATACTCATGTGTTATCATCTTTGCACTAAACCACAGATTAGAAATGAGAGAGCATTTAACGTTGGAGAAAAAATAAATGCTCACAAAGATTATTTTTGCCCTGCACGCTTAATAATGTGCAAACTTAGTCTACAAATATTTAAGGATCAGGCTACCAAAAGATCATCATTTTTAATTGTTTCACATTTTGTCACGCCGGGCAAATTTACAGCTTATCGTAAGGTATGTGTTTTGCTATTTGTTGAGGGTCGTTCAGTGCCATATATCTCTGGTTCATACTTGTCTCATTGACAATCATACCACATCTCCTTATTTATATTTTGAAACCTTTTGGTATTTTATACAAAATGTCAAGATACTCGAGTTAATTTGATGCACTATATGTGCATTTCGACATTTCTTTTTCAATAGTTGTATTGTGGAAGCGACCGTGCCTCGTGTGCGGGGCGTGGTGAATGTAATAACTGACGGTTGGTTGAAAACAGATTTTAAACTGGTATTTGCAGTCGGTTCGGAGTTGGAACAATGTGTCAGCTTAAGGTTATATAAGGGTCTGGATGGGGTTTCCAAATAGAAACTAATTGGCTCAAAAATCAAGAATAGAAAAAAATGGGCCCATCAAATAAAGATTAATATGTTAATAAAATATAACGAAAAGAAAATAATGGGTAAACAAAAAATGTCCTAAAAAAAATACAGAATTGAGGACTCCCCTCCCCCCTAATCCAGACCCTCATATGTCTTACCTGATTTGCTAATACGTTAAAATCAGACTTATGGTGTCGTTCTTGTAAAGTTCTCTGAAGTACATATTCCAATGACATCAACATGTTATTGTCCGTATTGTGAATGTAATATTTGCCACTGGTTGTTAAACAGTCACTTATTAACATTGAATATCACTTAAAAGTATATAATGTTGATTTTCCGTTTAAATTTCCAGTGGCAATAGTGACATTTTTTCTCTTTGCACAGTTGTTCTTAACAACATACTAATTAAGCGTGAAAGGGACTATTTAAAACTTGTTGCAGTATTAAAATACTGTCTTTTTCTTGGAATTCTTTATTATAGTCCAGCAAATTTCACATAATTTTATGAAAATATCAAACTTTTTAAAAATGATCACCATTTTCTTTCGTACCTTTAAAGAAAAAATTATGTAAGTAATTTCAGAAAACGATGAAAATATTTAAATGAAAGAGACTTGTAAACAACCTTCAGTGCCAAAACAGATTTTATTATTTTTAAATACCGTCATTTCGTGTAGAGAACCAACAGTGTTTTTTCCTTTTACGACTGACCGTCTAAGCCTGTATAATCAAAATATAGACCCCGTGTCTACTCTTCCCTTACAAGGATCTGACACTGCTCCGTTCTACTTTCTGTTTTAAAGACGTTTCGGGGTTCTCCGGTTTTATAGTAATGATACACACTTAAACAAATGTGAAGGCTGATATTCAATTAGCTAATGAAATGATTACAAGAGCAGAAAGTAAAACAGAGGGCTGTCAGGTCTTTATAAGCAAACTTTTCTGTATTTTAGTCAAATTGTTGCTAAGCAATAGCTAAAATGTACATGGGTTTAAAAGATATAATATGCGAAGGTGATTTCGTTTGGGGACAACATATAAAATAAAATAATAATATTTTTTAAAAATACGCCAAAACCTGACATAATGAAACATGTACATACCACTTTTTTCACATCCGGGTTACTGCTACAAATTTTCGCTGCAAGTTGTTTTCGGATATCCTCCTCGCTGTCTTTGCTCTTTTTGATTTCCTTATAAACTTTAGCAGCCCTGTCCAAAGCTTCATTACATTTAGCTGCATTGGTTAGATCAAGTGTTCTGTAAAAGTTATATGACTTAAATAACGAGGCTAAAGATAGATTAGCTACTGGTTTTACATATGTATATTTACAGCAGGACCATAATTTATTTTGACTGCGTTTTTCTTTTGACTAAAACATGTGCATCATTGTGTTTTATCATATGAAAAGCGGTTCCTATTATGAGTTCAAACGATAAAAGTTTAGCGGATTAGCATTTATCTTAATAAAGAGCCGCTTGCGACATCATACAAAATGTGTTTCGTGACCATGCAGAATTATTATAAAATATCTTCAGTCAATTATTAATCAAATTTTCTGTATGCAATGAGTATGCATTGTTTACTTTAAGCCTAGCGCGGATAAAATAAGTCAAAAATATCTAATAAAATTGAGAATGGAAATGGGGAATGTGTCAAAGAGACAACAGCCCGACCAAAGAGCAGAAAACAGCTGAAGGCCACCAATGGGTCTTCAACACAGCGAGAAAACCCCCCACCCGGAGGCGGAATTCAGGTGGCCCCTAAACAAAAATGTGTACTAGTTCAGTGAAAATGGATGTCATACTAAACTCCAAAACATATAAATGAACTAAAATTAAAAAACACACAAGACTAACAAAGGCCAGAGGCTCCTGACTTGGGACAGGCGCAAAAATGCGGCGGGGTTAAACATGTTTAGTGAGATCTCAACCCTCCCCCTATACATCTAGCTAATGTAGAAAAAAACATACACAGCAATACGCACAGTAAAACTCAGTTTAAAAGAAGTCCGAGTCCGATGTCAGAATAGGTAACAAAAGAAACTAAGCAAAATGACAATAATACATAAATTAACAAAGGACTACTAGCAGTTGCTGATATGCCGGCTGCAGACCTCAATTAAACTGATTGAAAGATTATGTCATCATATGAAAATCAAGCACAATCCCTCCCGTTAGGGGTTTAGTATCATACCATCATAAAATATATGAGAAGAACATAACCCGTATCATGCCAACAACTGGTTTTAGAATAAATGTGTTTATTTCCGATGCAAAGACCCTATGAGTGACTCAATATTAATACCAAAAAATGCCATCTTTAATGACCTGACAACAGTTTCGTAACTAAATCCCTTCTGAATAAGTCTGTTTAAAGGTTTGGTTAGCTTTAAAGGTGAAGGCCGACATTTTTGTGCTTTGTAAAGAATATTACCTAAGTTTTTTTTACCGTTTTAACAAACAAAGATTTTAAGATTAAACTTCAACATGAAGATACTGTATTCAAAACAAATCGACTATAGTGCTTTTTATGCATCTAAGACCTTTATGGACCACTTTTTTTATGTACAGTGCAGACCAAATAGATGTATACATAGTAACGCCTTTGATCATCGTGCCATCTTGTATATATTTTCAAAGGTCTGGCTATACAATTTATCAATAAAATACAATTTTGGATATATACATAAACGTTTAAAGGATTTGTAATTTTGAAGCGGTGGTTTTTCAGTATAAAATGTATTGTATGTGTTAATGGCATGTGAATAGATTTAAACTACCTTGGCAAGAATTCAAAAATATAGGAATTCAAGAAAGGGACACTTAAATGAACAATCTTTAAGGTCTCGAAGGGACCAAAAGGATGAGATACTCCCCGTTAAGCGTAAATAGGAGGTTGGCTGAACAATTATTGGTATGAAGAATATTCGTATGGAGTCGGGCGCGGAACAAGAAATTTTCTGAAAGGGGAGTAAAAGGGGGCTCCATCTTGAAAATGAGGATTCTTATCAAATTTTCTTATATTTTTACATGATTTAAAGAAAATCCCCTGGATCCACAAATGTGAGTACAACACTGTTCTGATTCAACTTTAGTCGGTAAACATGGAAGCTTCGTCACGTAATACATTTTTGACTTGATAGACATTTTTTTAAAGTTTTTAACATGCTTTGCTGCTGTTTTACAACAATTTTCGTTGTGAAATAGACATGGTGTTGTAACATACATCTGAAAATCAGTTTGTCATACAGAGCAGAGTTTTCATAATTGCTCATTTAGCAACTGCTGTAGATGACAAAACCTTTCGGAATTAAATGTCCTCAATGCTCTTCAACTTCGTACTTTATTTTGCCTTTTTTTGTTTTTTTAGTTCGAGCGTCACAGATGAGTCTTTTGTAAACGAAACGCGCGTCTGACGTACAAAAGTTTTAATTTAAAAATAAGAAGATGTGGTATGATTGCCAATGAGACAACTCTCCAAAAGAGACCAAATGACACAGAAAACGCCTGGTACATGTTATTCAATGATGAGTTTATTAATAAGTGGTTGAATATACTAGGGCTGTTTCAACTTCAATGTGTAGACATCCAGAAATGAACATACTTTTATTATGCAAACATTGGTGAGATTGTTTGTAACGTAGAAATTGATATGTTTCTTTCTGTATTTCTTTACTTTTTTAAATATCTCTTTAAATTAAACCGTTCGGCATTATCAATATGATCGTAACTTGTACATACAAAAGTTGAAATAAGAGATAAAAATCATAAAATAAATTACCATTTTAGTTTTTTACGTTTACTGTAATAGTATTTTATTACACCTGCATGCACATGTTATTTTTCTTAAAGAAAAACAAGCTCAACGTACAAACTTTTTTTTTTCAGAATAAAAATTTAAAAAACACCGCACATATAAACCACGTATCAAATTTAAACCGTACAGGTACACCAACCATTTTCATTATTTTGATTGAAACTCAACGGATATGATCATATGCGCCGTTGTTGTCACATTTAGTTCGAAGGAGGAATTTTTGCATTTTCCTTTGTTATTTCTTCACTTTTTAAGGAAATTGACTTTTTATCGTTTCAGTTTAACATGTTTAATATATCGCATCATAATTAACGATACAGACTAGTACAATCATATTTAGGGAACGACCATTCAAAAAGGAGAGGGGGGGGGGGTATGTTTTTTCCTAAAAAAAAATTTTGATCCTCAATTTGATGAAAAAAATATTGTGGTCAAGCAGATGACAAAAAAAATATTCTGAATCCATATATTCCCCATACCTTACAGTGTGGAATTTGGAAAAAATAAATAATTTGATTGATAGCGTCAAATACTAAAAAAAAATGTTCGCGAAAAATCATACCCCCCTTGAAGTAAAAGGGGGGTATGATTTTATTCATATTCCTGTCTTTTCCTGTTTATTTCTGGTTTTGAACAGAGCGTTCTTTTATTTCCCTGTTGCAAGCCACGATAGATAATATATGCAAAATCTTATGACGCGACGTTATTGTTATCGTCACTGACGGCAAATATTCGTGTGTACTTTAGAAAAAAAACAAGCTTGGCAGTAAAAGGAAAATTGCGAAATATTCCCTGGCACTGAAACTTGTTTGTTTGATAATTCCGTAATTCGGATCGGGACCACTACTGAAGATTCATTATTTGATGAAACGTGCAAATACAGTGCAACAAAATTGGTTTCAGTAATTTAACATCTTGACTGCTATCATTAATGAGTGAAACTTCTCCATTTCTTTAATATGATTTTTTTTTATATTAAACAAAACAGAAAAATCAGCAGAAAGTCCACAAAATGAAAACAAATTGAAATAATTTATACATATACTCTATAAAAGTATGGCCGACGCAACTAAAATGAAAATTTGAAAGCACTTTGCATGCATAACGTTACGTTTTGTTACGGCACAGTTCTTCGTCTGTGTAGCCACTCCCATAGTACACAAAAGAGGCAACGTCACTGAAGCCTATTGTTCGACGTAAGGAAAAAAACATCGGCCGAAAATCGGCCCGTGGCAGTCAATGTAGTATTTACAAATCGGCCTAAAATCGGCCCGTGGCACAGAAAACGTTAAGACTGAAAATGAAAAAGCAGTTATGTTTGGGGAATGTTTGACGCGGTATCAGAGACAATGTTATCAAAGGCCGTGTATTTTTAATGTATCAGTCACATGAAACATGTAATATCATAAACGTATTTACACTTTTGGTACTTAGCTATATTTTGCCTCCGAATGACCTTAGATCTACTCCGAATCACCTTTTGACGTCAGGCAACAATCACTTTTTAATTGTGACGTCAAATGTTTTGAATTATGATGTCAAAGTTTACGGGAACCTGTGTGATTTTACGTAATGGCGGACAAATTTGCATACAAGTGTAAATACGTCTATTGATTAACTGCCTTATTGTAGCCCCTGGACTCTCTTTCGTACGTACTTAGTTGCTTTATCACTGACGTATGGCCATACACTGGAATCCATTCTCTGTTTAGTTGTAGTATCTTTTCCAATACAATCCTGGACCATTTTACCCCATGCTTGGTTGGTCATTTTGTTTGGATCTTTGCCTTTTGCCAATCCAACTAAGTTGAATTTTTTAAAAGAGGCGATAACATCGTTAATATCTCCACCTTCTGCCATTTTGTCTGAAAAGAAAAAAAAATATGTTGTTTTTTTCAAAAAAGACCAAACAGCCGTATGTTTATGCGCATTAGCTAACGCAACTGGGTTGTGACATGGAAACTCTATGACGTTGTTTTCTGCTCGGCAAAAAGCGACAAATTACAACCTCCCTTTCCGAGCATTTCACAGATTTCAATATGATGTTCCTGTCAGAATATGTTTTGTCACGAAAACTGGGATTGAGCGCAGCAAATTGATAGAGAAAATGAAACAAAAATGAACACAAAAGATACTACCCGTAACCTTGACAATAAACGGACATCTTCATTTTCTTTACGTGTTTTAATGGGTAAGTTTTAATTGACTGACGTTTAGAATTTAAATTTTTGTGATTTATACAATTTATCCATTAAGTTTAGATCGATAAAAATGGTGCTAATAGTTACGGTCTCATTTTAACTCATTTATTAAACGAAATAGTTGAACTGATTCCCGGAAACATTAATTGTCCAATCTTATAATGAAGTTAAATTTTATTTAAACTGCTAAATTGAAGAAATATTTTAAAACTAAAAAAAAAAGATGCATTGTATATTGTCATTTATTTCATTTAAAATTGTCTTATTTATTTAAGACCCGTGAAAGAGTAATATTCAAGATCGTTTTTCATAAAAGGCTAAATACATCTAACATTTTAAAATTAAAAACTTACTTCTACCTATCATTTTCAAGTTCCTTAGTTTTTAAATATTCATAAATATTTAGTTCCACAAACCTCGATGCATGGAATAATTTGTATATGCCTGTCTTAGAAATGTAATCTCTTGTATTATGGGATAATAAAGTAGTCGCATATTGTTTTTTATTAATTGAAAATTTTACCACCATATTGAGCTAGCTTCCATATATCTTTCTAACGACTTTTGGATTAGTCTTTCCAGAACTGCATGTATTGTACTTTAATTTCAGAACCTCAGAAAATCGTTACTAAATGAAATGCTTTCTATCAGTTTAATAATATTGTTTTCCAATAAGTACATATATGAAAACTCATATTACAGCCGATTGCATTGAGTGTGTAGGCAAAGATAATATCTTTAGTTAGCTTGCTAGCTGAACCGTGAAGTAATTATTAGGTAAGGTATACTACCCTCCTTTCGGAGTAGCCTAGTCCTACAGACAGATAGATCGGTTATCTGTTGGACTAGTCTACTCTTAAAGGAAGGTAGTTTACCTAACCTAATAATGACTTCACGGTTCAGCTAGCAAGCAAGCTAACCAAAGATATTACCGTTGCCTACAAACTCAATGCAATCGGCTGTAAAAACACTGACATTTTACCACTATGTGGAGATAAGCATATGAATTTTATTGGACACCTTATCATTAAAACTCATGAAATCGTTCTCTTACAGTATGCCTTGGAATACAATCTTGTCATTTAACGCGGTTTCTCCGGCAATTTTGCCAAACAGTGCAGAGAAGCCACTGTGTTGATGGGGAATAACAGGTCTGAGCGGATCGAGGTATCATACTCCTTTGACTTTGGTTGGATACAGGCTTTCGTCTGTAGCTAAAGGTATTTTCCTACCAAAAATAAGTTTTCATTCCCCCCTTTTTTCCTCCTGAATGTAACACCAGTATATATAGCTGTTCTCGGCTAGTTTTACTAATCACGAAGAGTAAAGTCTATTTAAGTGGATCTTATTTATATAATAAACCTTTGGTATTTTTAAACGCAGTGTGTCGACTATATTTTGTCAAAGTTGTATTTAAAGATATAAGGTTACATGAAAACGGTTTGTTTATACACTTAGAACAATTATCGATTTGTCACGGCCTTGATCCCAAAGTTTATAGTTCGTGGGTAAAGTAATTTGAATACATTAATCATTTCGTTCGGGCGTTTACTATCTTTTCAATGTGTTTAATCATATAAATTGTCAATATTTAACTTCACTGCATCTGTTCAATAAAACTTCCACCCTACATAAAATTAACAATAAACATTATATAAATCCTCCAATCTTGTTATTGTCTATCAAATATCTATGTAACATTAAATAACACAAAGACGCATTATAAATATTAAATTCATTTAAATTTGACAGACAACCATAGACGGATAATAAATTGTATTTTAAAATCAATAAACATACTGTGAACTTTCTAAACTGGTCCAAACCTTTTCATTAAATCCAATGTTTGAAACGATCATTATACTAAATTTATTGTAAAAAAGAATACTGACTTTGTATTTTTTAGAAAGTGATTGTTAAAGTATACATAAAAGAATGCAACGAGGATTGTGAATGTGTAATAACTTGTTTCACTTTTTTCGTTGTGGACGGGGGCGACCTGTCTCCTATTCCCTTCACGTTTATTCATTTGTTGCCGGGTGACTAATTGTCCTTACTTCTAGTTGGATAGAAGGTTTACACCAGGATTAAAATGAGATTGGAAGACTAAATGTTTAAATTGTAGAAGCAAGACTAATCGTAGTTTCGATTTCCCCCACCCCCCTTTTTACACTAAACGAGTTCCGGGGGCCTGTTTTTATTTTTATTTGTTTTGGTTTTTTTTGTTTTTTTTGGGGAGGGGGTCGTATTCATCAATCTTAACTTTTCTATATAGTGTTTTTGTATAAAGGACATTATTTTTCCTTCTTCAATGCATAGAGATAGTCTGTTTTTCTACAACCTTTGGTTTGTCATTAAGCCCTTGGTATCTTCTCCTCCATTTATTGTTATATAGTTGTTATATAGTTGTTATATAGTTGGTTCTGAAATATTTTTACTACATTTGTATTCCTTATTCCTGCTTTATACCTGCGTCGCGGATGACTCATTGGCGGATCCAGGGGGTGTTCCAGGGGTTGGAACCCCCCTTTTTACGTTTTTTTTTATAATAATTATGTGAACGTTTCACGGTGTTCAAGCCCCTCCCCCCCTTTTACCCCCTTTCAAAATGGTTGGATCCGAGTATGTGCCTAGACCAAAAAAATTTGGTAACTTCTCCATACCAACAAGAAGACAAATGCTGATTGGAGGAGCGGTCTTTTTTGTAAAATATATATACAGAGCAACGTCCAGTCGGATAAGAAAGCCATTGCATTTGTTTTTTTTTTCAACTATTGGAGCGGTCATCTGAGGTGACCTGTTGTAAGACAAAATTTCTGTTTCTGACCAAACACCCACTTCTTATTAGCAGTTAAAATTCTCTGCTTTCTGAATTACGTCACTCCTGACTGGCTATATATTTTACCTAACTGTTTAATATGTTTTCATCCTCACTATGCATGACAAATTTTACTCTGCACGTATCGATCAATAGATTATATTGATAATGTTTACGACTTCCCATGTAAAATTTATGCAGTCAGTTAATGAATATATGCATACAAAATACTTCAAACGAATAGAAGTGTCATATAGAAACTCGCCAATAGGGCAATACGATGGATTTCTGCGACTGAATTAATCATAATATCGTTATCTGAACCAATTCGTTCTATATGTTTTCTTTATTCATTGATGAAATACAAAATAGTTTCCATGTGCTAGATGTTTTACGTATCCAATGTAAACAAATAAAATGATTGAAAATAAACGATGGCGGAAGGGTGTAACAACTGGAAGGATGAAGATCTTTAAAAAGCATAAACATTTTCAAATGTAACAATTTCCTGTAATCTTTAGATAATGAAAAAAGGAGAGGTTAGCGTATCTTTCGACGGGCGAGGCTTCTCGGTACTTTACATCCGCATCTGAACCTCTGCATTCCTTCAAGCATAACTAGTACTTTTTGTATGCATGTACCATGAAAAAAATAACATGTGAAATTGAATTTTGCTAAGAAATGCTTAATTTAGAAATATACGGGTTTTTTTTTTATCGGATTTCAGTGTACGACAGGAATACAATTTATGTCAATAAAACTATACAAGCAACTAAGCAATCAATAATAAAATGTATCAGTAAAAATGTAATACCTTACCGTTACTGCTTTGTCTATTGGAAAACTTAAAGTGTAAACAATTCTCGTTACCGTTTACTTGACAGACACGTGACACAACAATACTTCAGGAAACGTTATAGATTAAAAATTTCTAAATATATTATGTTAAACATCTAACCACCCGTAGAAGCGCATGAGTAAACTTGTTCAAGAAATGTTTTAACTTTAGAAAATATATGCGGATCTGTACGTAAAAGGTGAAGATTTAAATCTTATTGGTTAAAAGTTAGTTGCACTTAGTATCATGCAAGAAAACTGAAGATACGTCAAGTTCAAACTGGATATATACGTAAATGGAAATTGATAAGAGAGTTAGCCGACCATCCATAATGATATACAATGAATTTACTATAGCAACATGTAAACAAGTTTCACCTGATTATTTACAATATTGGATCAATAATTCCCTTTATTGCTAGTTACGTTTGATGATGTACCTTACGCATCGATTCAGGCTACAATTCTTAAAGTTTTATAAATACTGCAATTTCAAATGCAATATCTCAAGTTAGATTAATAAGTACTTTTAAAAAGAGAAACACGCTACGAATTATTTAAATTGAATGTCATTTGACAGGTATTTAAATGTTTACTTGTTCATGGACCATATCGTAATGAATTACAATAATCGATTTCAGTCAATCTTTTGAATGATTAAATAGGTCGTTAATTAAAATCCCATTACTTAAGCCAATGACTGTAAATATTAATTTGAATAGCCTGTTGCTTACAAGACCGGTAAAATATTTATACTTCCCATTAAATAATTAGCCTTGCAACAATATCGTACCTAGAGAGATATATATATTTCATATCATGATACCGAACATAATAGAACTTCTCTTCAGGGAAAAAGTCTCAGTCTAGGAGAATAATCTATTGATCAGATGAACTTTTGATTTTGATTCTATCTATTATCCTTGTATTCATGTTTAAGGTATTGATCATTATTATACTCAACAACTAAAGAAACTCAAAAAAAAAAAGAATCGAACTTTATACTATTACACAGAATATAGACAAACGGCTTAAAAAATAAAGAATAAAGAAATGAAAGACCCCCATCCAGATCATCTATGCATGTACTTGTATTCGTGATTATGTGATTGATAATAATTATACTCAACAACACAAGAAACGCACCACCTCCATTAATCTCTCTGGAGTAAAATTTCTATTGCATATAACTTCTTTGAAAGTTATTGAAATAAGTCAACAAACACCATGAAAGCAGGTATAACCCATCACTTTCGTTGGTAAATGCTTGTGCCATGTCAGGAATATGACAGCTGCTTTCCAGCAATTCTGTTGGCTGATATAGTCGAGCGTTTGGTTTTGTCAGTTTTAATGGACCCCCCTTTCTTGAATTTACCTTGGAGTTCGGTATTTTTGATTTTACATTTTTTTTCGCATTTTGTTTTCTAAAAACGAGACATTCTATATTCAGGATAATCCTATAGAATTCATGCCATTTCCAGGTGGTTCAAAATACATTGTACATGATAAGAGGTGGTATTTAATTTTATTCGTATTTCTATTTCATGTGAAAATAGAGTGTCACAATTGAATTTGAAATTTTAATTGCCATTTATCCAATATTTGTAAAAAGGCTAAAAGGCAATTGAATGTTCTGATATATAAGCGGATAGATAAACATTTTTGAAAATAACATGTCTTTTGGGTTATAAGTCTTTCTTTAAGTCATATTTCATTCCTTGTCCGCCATGCTGACACTTTTCTGGCTAGCAAATACTATAGTTAGACTATAGACCATATTAGATTCGTGCGTTTAGGCCCTTCGACACTTCCTTCCCATGTTGAGCAATCGGTTGAAAAAATATGATGTTTATTGCACGAAATATTCGGCAAATCAAATTCTTATAATTGATAATCAGCACTGCTTATTTCTAGTTTATCCTGCATAATGACGATCACGAAGACGCTTGGTGAACTTTTTAAAATAGTGCAGGGATACAGGCGGGCCCTCTATCTGGTAAATGACGTCATAAAGGCGCGAATAATTGACGAACTTTTACTGGTGAAGGACATTACTCGAAAGTGGTCTGTTGGAAATTCAGGAACTGGTATTTAAATTATTATATGAAGACTTTGATTAATTTAGTTCGTATGTCAATAAATAGAACCCAATTTAATGAGATAAAATTGTCTCCAATATTTTTTAGATTGACAAAAAGTATTAACAATATTTTAATAATATCTTATCAATATTGTTATTAAAAACCATTCATATTCTTTATGTGAATCTTATGTGACTGTGTAAATACTTCAGATATGCCCGCATGAAGAATAATTAAATACGGTTAGAATTATTTAATACTTTTAAGAGAGTAGGTAGAAGTGGTCAACTTCTTGGAGAAGTGGAATTCCTAAACCGATTCAGATGCATCGTGTTTTTATGTTTGTTATCACATATACATTAAGAATGTTTGCTCCTCTTGTTTTTGAGTTTTTGTCAGATTTCCGTAATCCTCTGGTTTTATCCATGTAGTTCCATTAAAAATATGGCTGCTAGTCCCTACTTTTCTTTTCATAATTTAGTAACTTGTTATTTTTTCATAGTTTTTTAAGGAAAAAGAGTGTCAATGTTAAATGTAAGAAAAATCTATGGAGAATCATTTCCCGCCAAATTTTCAATGGCTTATATCTTAGAAACAAGGACACGGACCCTTAATTTGTTCTGCTATATAAGTTTTATTATTTACAAGTCTAAATTAAAAACAACGTTTAAACCTATGATTGCGTTGGATAAAAACCGCATTTTTTATACGTGTGCATGCAAAACAAATTTCTTGGTAGAGGGGTCTAAATACAGCACAAACAACATTTTCCAAAAGACAAAAAAAAGTGAAAAAGTATATTTTAACAAAACGCATTTGACTAGCAGGTCGAACAACGGATGTTCTTAAACCCTGCTGACTGCCATTGGCGATTGCCAGATAAACGGATCACCAGATGTAACAAAATGGATCTTAATTATTAATTTAATATCAAACAGAAAACAATAAACTTGCGGAAAAGATGGTATACTGCAAACAAAAGGTGCAAAAATTAGTACACCATATCCGGATTTCGACAAATAATGTCTCTTCAGTGATGTTAGGAATCGAAACGGTATTTGGAAGGCCATATGATTTACCTTAACTTAGGATAGACTCTTGAAATTTGAAGAGTCGAAATAGGATGAACGGATCATATAAACCCGAAGGCAAATATAATACAAGCCCAAACGAAAAAATATAAACAAGTCTTAATTGAAAACAACTTTCAAACCTATGATTGCGTTGGATAAAAACCACAATTTTTATACGTGTGCATGCAAAACAAATTTCTTGGTAGAGGGGTCTAAATACAGCACAAACAACATTTTCAAAAAGACCATTTGTTTTCTGCCATTTAATTTGGATTTTTTGTCCATTAATCTTTATTCTGTAACCCCATCAAGAACCTCTGGTATATCCTAGAGGAATGAAATTTTTGAATTTTGTCCTAAACAAGTTTGTTTTTGTCAAGTAACATGTTAACTATCATGTAGGTAATATATGGAGCGTTGGGTATGGACCGAAAACGAAGTATAATTAATTACCGGCATGCGCTTACTATTTTTCAAAATCTACAAAATTAGTATTACCTATCATAACCTTACAACTCCTTGAATAAAAACCTTCTAGTTTTGATCTTTAAATATTTTGACCACAAACATCACGGTAGGTATAGTGTCCGGCGGAGATCGTGTTTTTTCGAGTGAATCGGTCCACTTTTTTCAAGTGTAGATCGGGTTTTTTCGAGTGATAAAACATGCGATCTGGTCAATTAACTGCTATTTCGCAATTATTATAGTTTTATTCATGACCGTCCATGTTATTTTGAATACTATACAAGTTTTGAGCACAAAAGACATAAAATTCAGTTTTTTACATTGTCCGTGTTTTTTCGAGAGCAATAGTTAAACGTCCGGGTCTTTTAACAAATGGTCCGGGTTTTTTTGAAGAAAATATGAATAAGAAAGAAGACATTCTTTGGCTTAAAAATTAACTTTTTCTAGTTTGTAAAATGAAAACAACACTTTATAATGTTATGCTATATGACCAAAAGGACCTAAATATTAGCCAAATCCATCTAAGGTCAACTTTGTCTGATTGAGTTGAAAACTTATACTCTTTGTGATTTGTAAATTTATAAACGGACAATTCTAAATGATTCATTGTTGGTTGCTTAACGTCCAGTGGCAAAATGTGTCGTGCATGTTCCGGACGAGAACACATTTAATCCAATAAGTAGGTACTGTAACAGAGGACGTTCTGGGTAAAGGTCGAGAAATTTAGCCTGTCACTATAAAATGAGAGTATATTGGATATGGACAGAAATTTCCAAAAAAAATTGCCAAAATTATAAAAATTAAATATTTGGAAATAATAAAAATAATAAAAAAAATTATATAAAAAAAAAAAAAAATCCAAGTGAAGAAAAAAAGTATTCTCCAATATTCCCCAAATAAAAAAAAAATTCAAATTTTCAACAAATAAAATAAAAGATAATATTTGACAATGCACAGCAACTTCTTCGGTGTTGACAAATGTGTAGGGGAAGTTGGTCATAAGATTTTTTCAATTCTATTCCCGGGAATAAAAAAAGTAAACGAACGCAAAGTAAGAAATAAATTCGTTATCTTGGTGCAATCAGGGGTGTACGGAATTTTACACCGGTGTTGAAAATGCATACGACCTACGGCTGCGCCACAGTGTGTATAGATTTTCAACACCGGTGTAAAATTCTGTACACTCCTGATTACACCAAGATAGCTAATATTTCCATCAAGACAAATAGTAAATGAAACATTAAGGATATATTTTCTACACAAAAAAACCACATTTACCCGCTTTACACTCTATGTGTACGTACGTCTCAGTCCAACCTGTCTGAGCTCACATAAAGATCGTTTACGTCACGAAGTATTTACTGTATGAAATCCATATCGGTACACTAACATGAAGATTTCAGAATGCATATGAGCGATGACTTTTTATGAAATGTACGTGTTAATACAGCATTATCAAACAGGTTTAATGCATTGTTTCGTGCTTTTGAAAAATACTTTATTTGAACCTTTTCATTGTTCTTTAAACGT